TCAGGGGTAATTTTTCCACGAGTAGTTGTAAATTGGCTGTGTCCATGGGAGGAGGTGAGTTCAGAGTCTGCCTACGCCGCCATCTTGACTCCCAATATCAGAATTCTTAATCAACTTTTTATGCCCTCCAGCATGACCTCCCAGTGTGGCCCAACCTGACCCTAGCTAATTTTATACGTCTCCTCAACCTCAAATTGTTGTACAGAAGATTTCTCTGTTGACTTAATGAACATTTTGGGTTCATGCCCATCTTCTTAATTTGTGGTATCTTCTCTGCCTAGATTACCTTCTACATGTCCATCCTTTTATCAAAATTATGCCATGCTTTAGAGGTTATTTTGTTAGGCCATGATATATTTAAAGTTGTCATTTTGGGACATTAATATGGCAGCTGATCAGACATGGAATGGATTAGAAGAGATTGGAGACCTGGATCCAGTTAAAGAGCCATTATAATAGTCCAGGTGAGACATGAGTGTCTGGCCTTGGCTGGTGGCATCTGACTTAGAAAGACAGAGATGGACTCAAACAACAATTGATTTACTGATGCAATACAGAATCTCTCATTCTGTCAATGTTATCCTAGCCTTATTTTACATGGAAATGATCTGGAATGAGAAATGATACTCAAATTTGAAAATTATTCCCCTATAATTTTTCTGCTAAAGCAGCTTTATAGCATTATATTCTCTATCAATCACTAGCACCAAAAACAAGATAAGAAAAAAACTTTTACCTTGCTTTGCTTCTGGTAGTGGTAAAATATTAGTATGTTATTTATATTGCATGTTAATTTTTGCACAAACTTCTAGTTATTTATTTTTTGACCTTAGAGTAAAAGGGAGTTAAACAGGACAAGTATTGTTACATTTTTATTTTCACATGAGGAAACTGAACTGTTGAGATTTAATATTTTATTTCAAATCACATAAGGTTAGACCTTGATTTATAATCCATATCACCAGTCCTTTTTTAAATAATAAATTATAAATTTTCCTGAAATATACATCTATAGGCTCCACTTTTGCGAAGTCACATTCTCATTTGATGGTGTGGCCATCAGACTGTGCTAACTGCTGATATAGCTTAATCTTATTTTCTCAGGACATTAATATTGATTCTCAAATACTCTAAAGATTTGTTCTGTGGGGTTTTTCACTTCTTCTTCTGAAGATACACTTTGCTATGCCAAGTTGATCCATCAGGATGAGATAGGTTATGGTATAGTGACAAATGAAACAGACAACTTCAAGGTCTCAGTGCTTGAAAGCCACAAAGATCACTTGCTATCCATGTCCATCTTGGGTTGGCTGGGGGCTCTGCTTCACTCCAGGACCCTGGCTGACAGAGCAGCCACTATATGAAACGTTTCTGGTCCCTGTGGCATAGGGAAAGAAAGAATGTGTCAAATTACACTCAGGCTCTGAAAGCTTCTACCTAGAAGTGACATGCTTTACTTCTGCTCACATTTCATTGGCTAAAGCAAATTTTAAGATTATACCCAACTTCAAGGGGCAGGGAAGTGCAATCATACCATGTGTCCAGAAGCAGAACCTAAAATATTTGGGGAATAGCCCTGAGGAATACAAGATATGCTCTGAGATCAGCTTTCAGAACTTTTAAAGGAAATGTAAAGTAGAGAATGTTTGGTGTAATTTAAGTTGAGATTTTCTTAGGGCGAGGAGATGTAATGGGAGGATGTCATACAGGCTCTTGCAGCCACAGTTCTAAGAATTACTCACTAATATTGGCTTGTCAACAGTCTGTGTATCTTTGTAGAGTTTCAAATGCCAAGTTTATTATGTGGTTGAAGCATTCAGTCACTTTAATTTTAACAACGCTTATTTGCAGTCATCATAGAAAATGCTTTAGTACACACAGCCCTAATTGAACAGTTCAGGTTGTTCTGTGGCTAGTGTTCCATTTCTTTCTAATATTCTCAATATCTTCTAAGAGAAAAACATCTCTTGTCTGCCTGGAGGAACCTGGCACAAGGTTATTAATGTTGAAACTCTGTCTATATGAACAACTGGAGATACCATCTTGATTAAATTGCCTGGACAATTCAATTAAAAACATCAATTCTTTATATAATTTGGTTGATTGATTAAATTGACAGTGATAAATTTAGTTATAGCAAGGGAACCAGGTCAAGCAATTAGTCAAAAACCTGTGTCTCCCACAAATCATGCCAGTAAATATTTTCACGTGAATTACTTAGAAAATTGAAGCCAGAATCCATTTTTGTTACCTCAAATTGTCATATAATTTGTATATTTTATTTGTATCATATAATTTAAGTAGTGGATTATATACTATGCTTTTTACTCATTTATAAGACTGATCTCTTCTAAAATATGAATTTCTTTAAGGGCAGGGTTAATTTTCTACTTTGTCATTCTAGCACTAGAGAGAACATTTTGGAGCCATAATAATGACTTTTTTCTACTTGACAGTGAGCTGGGTATGTCAAGTCCAGATTCAAGTTCCCTTTATATTTCTGACCAGTCTATAAAATGAAGCTTTTGGCCTAGATGACCTTGAATAGCTCATCTACATCTAAAATAAAGTACACCAGTAAATTATATTTTTAATTAAGGAAACTGGTTGACACTTAAATGATTTTTTTTCTGGTAGATGTAATAAAATTTAATAAATAATTATGTTAGGAAATATTTGAGTTTTAAGCAATTGAGGAAAACTTTTTTAGTATTTGTCAATGTGATTATTTGAACTTTGTGTTACTTCTAAATCAGCTATAGCTATATTTAAGGTATCTAATTAGGTTGTGGGTCCAAACAATATACTTTGTTATTTGCAATACTATAATCATCATTTGATAATGTTTAATATTAGAAAGTCTATGCCGATGGGTTTTTATATATGCAGTAAAGAAGTTTTCAAAAACCTTCTTTTAATAACTCAAAATTTAAAAAAGAAGAGATAATGATAATTTACATGCTTTCCAACTCTCCTCTCTCAGGCTCCACAGAGGCCTAAACAAGGTTGAAACCATCTCTGAAAGAATGTAACTGCTATTTATGAGCAGTAATCTGAGGCCAAAATATAAATTCACCAAAGCAAATTGGCAACCTTATTGAGTTTGATCTACATTTCCATACACTAATGGATAGAGATTTTAAATAAAGTTTAATACCATCAGTTCTTCCCTTGAGAACAATAGTAAAGTATTAATCTAATTTCTCAAATTGTCTTTCTTGCAACAATGTCAAAACATCTGCCCCCATTTCTTCCCCACCTCTCCTAAACAAATATATACTCTAAACTACTCTGATTAAGTCATTGGGTACTTTTTAGTATGGTACATTACTAGATAAATAAGTACTAAAATGTATAAATTAAAACAGTAAATCTTTAAATATTGAGAAATGAAGACATTATATCATTTTAACTCACAAGGTTCTCCTAGATCTTCACTTTGAAGTGGGGAAGAGATGGTCTTTATCTTTTCCCTGTCTTATTTTTGGTAGTGTGTTTTCATTATTTTAGCAAAGTGTCAATAAATAGAACGTGCACTATCTAGTAGGATGTTTGTCATTGTTTTACACAGTAGGAAACTATAAGTAAATTAATCTAGGTTATTTCCTCAGGCTTAATATCATCAATATTTCCTTCGTTCATATCCTCCAAAACAAGATCTTATTGGGGGAAAAATGTTTTGGTACTTGAATGATAGAGAAAAAAATATGCACAGCAGGTAACATCCTGGGAAGTTTTATCAATGATACCACCTTATTCAGAAAGCTGTTTTCACTTCCATCCACTGCAGTAACCTAAACAGCAATATTGGGGATTAGTAATATAGATTGAAAGTCATTCTAGTTCCCTGAGCTTTAGCCCTAATGGGTAACAAATTCCTCCAGTTACAACATAGATAGAGATACTATTAAGGATCCTATTCAGTTCATCTTTATCTAAAATATCACCGGATACTTTTTGAGTGCCTGCTATGTATAATGTATATGGTTTACAAAATCACAGTGTTGGGTGTATGCTGTATTAATAGTTCTGTAATGACTACTTCATACCTAACTTCATATGCATGCAGATAACTAAAATAGAACGTGAAAGCATGCCCAGGCCAAGTCATATGATGGTGTAAGCAATGTGTTCTGCGTATAAATTATAGTGTAAAATATTTTGGGTAGAAAAACTGCTTCTTTCGTAGCAATTGAATTTAGATTTATGGATGTTGCCAGTGAAGCTATTCTGTGGTATATTTTATATAAATGAGTTTTAAAAACATTAGGAAAGTTTCCATAATCAGGAATTGGAATTCTCATATGGCAGGTTAACATAGTAGGTGGTGGCATTTGATCATATTCTGTTGCCAAAAATTGTAAGTATTAAGTATGTGGGTAAAACTAATCCTTTCATTTATAAGATAGGTATAAGAATATGCAGTTATTAATGGTTCTCACTATGGGCTTTCCTCTGGGGTATTCTCTAGCATGAAAATAATTTTCCTGAAAAGTAAATGTCACTGTTGCTTAGACCTGTTGAATTTCAAAATTATTTTATACTCATTGAATTTATGACCTTGACTTTCATAGAGATCCTCTGGGTTTATGTCTTATCATGGGAAAAGAAAAAAAAAGAAAACAATATTGCTAGAAGCTCTCTAATTAAAATCCTTCAATATGCAAGTATAGATGAAAATGATTTAAAATCTCATTGAATTAAAAGGGCATCTCATTCAAACTCTGCTTTAAGATAGGATCTATATAGGCACTCATTTATTTAAAAGTTATTTATATGATGTCATCTGGAATTTCATATTTGAAGCATGCATGCCATTATAGTTGTTTCCACTTAATTACTAGTCCTGCTCTTTTTATTCAGTAGCAAATGGAATCATTTTGTGACTCAGTTTCTTTATAAAATTGAGGCCTGTTGCCTCTATTTAATCCTATATTTAGCATTTATTATGTACCTAATACTGAATTGGTGATCAAAGCTCCTTAGAAAGGACAGTGGAATTACAATTATGTTAAACAATAGAGAATTAGTCTTTAACAACCTGAAATGGATCAATTTTTTTTCAACTCCAAAACGATCCTTCCTGATGATTCTTGTATGTTTGGTGTATTCTCTCTTGTCAATTAATATTATTTGGGGGATGTAAAGTAATTACATCCCCCAAATAATATTCATTACATTAATAGTAATATTAATCTAAGAGAAATATAACATAAAATATATATATAAAATACATACATGCATACATAATGAGAGAGAAAATGCAACAAGGAAACAAGGTCCTGAAAGAGCTTGGAGAGAGATCAAGTGCTGAAAGTGTGCCTAATATAGGAAATGGATGCCTTTTCCATTGTACTATGAAGAAAGAGGAACAAAAATGGGAATGCATACAGATATATTTATAGGAAATTGAATAAGTTCTTATTCATTTCTTTGTATTTTTTTCTGGGAAACATCTTAAAAGGTCTTTCTGGGTGAGGTCTTAAAAGTTTGAAGACAGGTAGAGAAGGTTTGGGAAGGCTGTAATGTGGAATGGTTGTGAGAAGAAAACTCAGATGAATCCCCAGGCAGTGTGAGAACTTGGTTGAAGACAGAGACTACACATGGAAGTGTCCCCGTGTGGTATTAGCATTTTCTTCATCTCTGCTTGGTAGTCCAGTGTTAAGAATAGAGTAGAAAACAGTTGGACTAGTGTAGGTCTGATGTTTTGCCTGACTGGCATGACAGAAGAACGATGGGGCTGGGTGGTCAACTATATTGGAAAGAAAATGATTGAAGTAATGAACCAGGAGGGCTGAACTGGTTAGAGAAAGAGCAGAGTTTTTGCATGAGGAAAAGCATGAATATTATGGGAGAAGTGGGAGTAATCTATGTAGACAGATTTCAAGATATACCAGAGGGAAGGGCAGGGAGAAAACAAGTTAGGGAGGTGGTTCTCAGCCTTGACTGAACATTAGAATACCCTGGGGATCTTTGAAAACTACTGATGCCTAGCTCTCGTCCTCTGAGACTCTGGTCAAATTGGTCTGCAAATTTTCCTGGGCAATGGGAATATATTATACAGCCAAGGTTGAAAATCCTTATTTAGAACCTCCTGTAAAGAATCTTATAGTTTTTTCAAGGTGGTTGGTGCTTTATTTTTAAGGCAGTGGAGAATCGGCAAAGGTTTTAAAAGGAGGAGGAGTAGCGTAAGTTATTATGTATTTTAGAAAAGTAACTTTTTCCTCAGAGTGACTGACCCGTACCAAAAGAGAATGATTAGGAAAAAAGGAGACTAGTGGAGAAAATATTGCAGTATTCTGGGCCAGAACAGTAAGATCTTGAACAAGGGACTGACAGAGGAATTGTAGATTAGGGGACGTATTTTTGATATTTCAACATAGGAACTTATAACACCTATTAATATATGTGTAAAATGATGTAGGAAGGTCTAAGACAACTGTGAGATTTTTATTTTGGGTAATCTGTTAATTTTCAACTGCTGCATAACAAATTAGCACCAATTTAGCAGCTCAAAATATTTATTATCTCACAGTTTCCATGAGTCAGGAGTATAGGCCTGGCTTCTCTAGATTCTCTGCTTAAGAATCTCAGCAGGCTATAATCAAGGTGTGGGCCAAGGCTGAGGTCTCAGCAGAGGCTTGACCGGGGAAAGCTCCTCTTCCAAGCTCTCTTGGAATTGTTGGCAGAATTCATCCCTATGCACCTATAGGGCAGAGGCCCCTGTGTTCTTGCTAGCTGATGGCCAGGGGTTGCCCTCAGCTCCTAGAGACTGCTCACAGTCTCCTGCTAGGTGGCCACCCCATAGGCCTTTCATAGCATGGCTGTTTGCTTCTTTGAGGCCAGCAGGAGAATCTCTTTCTCCACAAAAATGGCCTAGTCACTCTTTTAAGGGTTTTCACTTGATAAAGTCAGTCCTACCCAGGATAAACTCCCTTTGATTAACTCAAAATAAACTGATTTTGTATGTTAATTATACCTGTGAGTTCTCTTCCCCTTTGCCACATACCATCACAAGGGAGTGACAGCCTATCATCTTTACAGATCCTGCCCAAACACAAGGGAAAGAGATTATACAGGCATGTACACTAAGGTACATGAATCGGATATGTTACAGTTAATTAAGATGAGGAATACATGAGAATAAGAATATTTTGGAAGGAAACTGATGGCCTCAGTTTTAGGCATGTTGAATTTGGGGGGTAGTTGAGCATCCAATTACAGTGGATCAGTAGGTGGTATAGAACTCAATAGAGAGATCAGAATTGGAAATATATATTTGGTAGTGATCAGTAGAGGTGATGGTTGGATAAGGAGATCATCCAGAGAAAAATTGTAGCAAGAAGTAGGCTGAGGACAGGAGCAAGACCAAGTAAAGCTAGAGCATCTGCATTTCAACCCGTATTTCTTGATTCCAGTCCAATATCTCATTATACAACCTTTCACTATTCCCCTACTTTCTTCTTGCAGTAATATCCTGCTCTTCCTAACTAGTGGTCTGCTTTCTATCTTCCTCCCACCATCAAATCACACTACCTAGAAGTGAGAATCAAGATCTTTCCTAGTGAAAGCCTTGCAGATGAAAGCCACTAAGAAAGATCGACTCTGTTATGCTCCCTGTTCCCAGATGAATTATAGGATGCAGGGTCCAGTGAGGGGAGATAGTACCAACATTAGCCCTGAACTGCTTCATTTCTTCTTATCAGAAAGCAGGACTAACTGTACTTTTCCTTGCTCCTTCCATCCCAGAATTGCCTATGAAGTAAACAGAGGGCACAAATTTGGAATGCAGATGGAATCATACATGTCTATCTCTTAAACGTCTATTTGAGTAGAAAATTATTGAAGCCACTGCAGCGACACTGTTCAGCAATCTGAGCTGTGCTAATGGAAACAGAAAGTAAATTTGATCAGTACATTTTGACCAGACTTTCCTCCCTTGTCTTAAATGTTTTTCTTTCAGGTTATATTCAAGAAGAATGTGTCATCCCCTGCCCATTTGATTGCAAGTTAAGCGATTGGTCTATTTGGGGGTCTTGCAGTTCATCTTGTGGGATTGGAGTGAGAATTCGATCCAAATGGCTAAAAGAAAAACCTTACAATGGAGGTCGCCCATGTCCCAAATTGGATCTCAAGAATCAGGTAAAGTGCATGAAGCAAGAAATAAAAAGCTGGAAAATTATCTCTTTTATTATTTTTTATTGAAATTGAAGTCATTATCTTGTTATAAGTAGCTTATAAAAAGTTATCACAAATTCAGAAGAGGGGTTAAGAGGGAAGAAATTAATATAATAGAATTAGTAATAGAAGCCTTGCCCACTCCTAGGAAATGCCGAGACCAATTTGGTATTATTAACACTAATAATGTTTATAAAAATTAAATCTAATTCATTTTCAAATGATCTTGAAGTGTAATTTGATTAATCATGATATTATAAAGGTGATGTGTGTGTGTGTATATACACCTAACTCTTCATCCTAATTTTCTTTGTTCTGAATCTGGCCAATATTCCCACAGCTCTTCAAGTGTCTTCTGAGCTCTACCTGTTTCCCCAAAAGTCAAAGCTGTTTTCATAAATGGAACCTTGAATGATCCCCTTCTATATAGATGTCTAATAAAATTGCCATCCTAAGCATTCTTAATTATATTTGAATATTCTTAATTAATTTGAATAGTGTGTCTAGTACTACTACTAGTGTGTCTAGTACTAGTACTATATTGTTTGTCAATTCAAGACCAGTATCTCTAGCTATTTTTTCCTAAGTTTTAAAAGACACATAACCACTGAAAATGAAAAATTGTCATTCCAGCCAAAAATATTTAGGTTCTAAGACAGGGCAGAGTATTATGCTAGTCTTGTTTTTTAAGGTTATGTTGTAAAATAATGACCATAGTTTCTTCCCTCAAAGATGCAAAGCTATTGGGGAAAACAAGGCAGAGGATCATAAGATCGACATAAAAGTTGCAAAATAACTCCACAAGTACAGTAGTTTAGTGAAGGGAAGAGTGAGATATGATTAACGAAAACAAGAGGGAAATAATTAGAGCAGAGAGAGTCAGAGGAGATAAACCTTACTTTAAGTAGCACAAAGAAAGGAATAATACAGGCGTATGGTCAAGAGGAAGACTTTCAAGTGAACACTTTGCTGGAAACGATTTCACCCTCCCTAGGGGATTTTTCAGGCCTTTAAGATGGAAAATAACTACTAGGCATCTATGGTTATAAATAATGTATAATAATTCTTATATCTTCCTCAAAACCATCAATGCGCTAAGCCTTTATAACACTCCTGTTAAACGCTAATTTTAATATGCTAATTTTATGAACTAGGAAATTATCAAGGGAATAAAAGAACTTCATTTGAGCAAAGTCTCTGAGACAATATTCTCAGTGTGCGAAGGCAAATGTATACAGAAACATATCTATCAAATTTGAGAGTTTGAATAGGACAGAGGTACTCGTACGCCCATTGTGACTTAAAGGAAACTTGTTCTAAACACTTAATTGACATATAAAACTTGTAATCTTAAGAAGCAGTACAAGCTAAAAACTAAGCCAAAGTTCAAGAATAATTTAGCTAAATTCCATAAGTGAAAATTAAATGAGCGTGGGCCTGTCTGCAGGAGGTGTTTCTTCCTTAAGTTCAAAGGAAGGGAATTGTAGCATTCCAAAGACATTTGTTTGTTGTGATGCTCAGAAATGAATCCTGGGATTTAATGATCAGAAATAAAATTTAGTATGGCATATGTTCTGATATAAAGAGGTTTCAGATATCTAGCATATATGTGGTTTAATTAAATTTGAATCAAAAAACTTCACTGTAATCCGTACTTTATATTTTAGGGTAAGTTAGTTGATCAGGGCAATAAATAGTAAGCCCTCCCTCTCACTTGTAAGTCTGTGAATGGCAAGGTAAATACTATTGTGAAAAATCCTAAATTTAAAAGAAATTCTCCTCAGAGCAATTCCTTTTCTAAAGCAAGCACATGTTTACCTGTAAGTATATTTGTGGAAAGCAATCTGTGGTGACTTCATTATATATTTGCTCTCATATAGAATTCCCTTTCTGTGTGTGTGATGTTATATGTAGAAATTTGTTTGAAGTTATCCATATTTTCTTAATTCATCTCAAAATAAATTGGGTTGTCAGGAATTTTCGTTATTTAGGAAATATTTCCCAGCTTCTATTATTTATGGCAATTCTTCTTTAGAAGAGACCGCTATTTGTTTCTCTAAGCTGGAAATATGATCTAGTTAGAGGTACACCCACTGAGGCTCTTTTGTAAAGTTCAATTTTACTACTGGCCTTAGGTTATTTGTCTCCTTTTGAATTGGTTTTTAGGTTTAGATTTATTTTCCTATTTTTGGAACCAGATTAATACCCTATCATCCATTCACCCATAAGTAAGAGCTTAAAAAAATATATAACCAAATTATAGCAGTAAGAGAGGCACATATCTTTAGTACCTGTGCATGAGGAAAATTCGGTATATGTCAGGCTGAGCCTAACATGCTGTTCATTAAAAAAATATTGAACTTCCTGTGTGTCTGTATATGTTATGCATTTGCCTATGTAAATGTTAGTATACCTGCACGTGCTTCTTCATTCTCCTTCTTTTCTCTTTAGAGCACAAGGTCTTTTTGAGGGCAAGGGCTGTCTTTCTACTATTGTGACTCATTCCAGCCCCTAGTACACTATCTTGTGGATTGTCAAATTATATTCATTGGATGCTTTATTTGAAAAGAAGCCTTCTCTCTGGATGAGTGGGTGGCTAGTTCCACAGAGAGAAAAAATGTATTAGAACTTTGGTCTCTTATGTTGTGATTTGTCATTCAAATTCTCAAAAACATGAGCTCTTCTAGAAGAAAGAAATAAGAACCTCCAAATTATCATTGCCCAAAGAGTCTTTCAAGATTTGCCTGAAAAATCCCAGGTGTTTGGATCCCCATTGAAATCTAACTCAGTGATATAAATGGAAAGGTTGGTGTTATGTACGCAAGCTCATAAACTGTTCTGAATCTGTTAGTGGGATCAATATTTATAATCTCTCATAAAAAGCCTCCCTTTTAATCCAAAATCTATCAACATATGATGGCTCTTTCTCTAGAAGTGCCAAAGTGACAGCAATACTTGAGTAGCTTTCTGCCAGGAATATTTGTGATGCTAAATAGCTGGAGTATGCAGCTTACCCAAAGCTTTTATCTGGGTGGAAAGCTTCTTCTAAATAGTTTATTGGATTATCAGGTCAAGTGGCTGATGCCCTTGACTCTGCTGTGCATACTAAAATACATAATGTATTTTAATTTTCTAGTCTATAATGTGTTGAGTGGATTTAAGTGCACTTATACTGTAGATTTTTTCTTTTGAAATTCTGCTTAATAGAAGATTAAATATGAGGGCATTAAAGCTCCATTGGTCTTGCATTTTCCTTTATGAGTTACACAATTGAAGACAAGGGAGTTCCAGGAAATTATATTTTGTTTATAGGTTACAAATCTGTGTGTTCACCGTGTGTCTGAATAAAAATCTTACACTGAGATTCATTACCTATACTTTTTAAAATGCGTGCTATTTAAATACATTTTCGAAAGAGCTTTGATTATGTTTGCAACTGAATGAGAGGATATAAATTAAATAAGTGTGTTTCCTAGAAACAATTGCTATTTTAAAGATGTGTTTTCTACCTAAAGAGAAGTGGTCTAAATTTGGAAATGATGAGTATAGTGCATCTTATTTTTCATAGCAGAGTATAATGTCTTAAAGAATACTTTCTTTCCAAAGATATATACAGATATATTTTAGCATGAACATTTCTTCCTTAGAAAAAGGCTTTTGGAAGAGAAAAATTTTCTATGGAGAAATAGCTTATGTTCATTTTAATATTGCTTCATTAATTATTAGCATCATGTTAGGATGTGGAAATAGGATAACTGTCATTCTATCTGAATGTTTGTTTACACAGAAAAATATGGCTACACTTAAGTTTTAATTGGATTTAACCAATTTTGGCCTCTTGCTTCTTTTTAACCAGCCCAACTGCCACTCATCCTAGCCTAGTCCTGATCATTCCTGCCAGAGTCCTGCTCACTTGGGACTTAGTACTTTGGCAGGAGCCCCAGAGTGTAATGAGCAAGAAGGTGTCTCGAGCATTAATATGGAAGGCAGCCCAAGCTTATCTATGATTAAGTACATTCAGATGCTCTTGCATCGGGCAGGTAGGGTGGGGGGAGGGTGATGTTTGCACCTTTGAAAAGAACTTGCTTTAAGTATGGAACATGGTATGTCATAGAGTAAAGGGATGCAGAGTGATTTATTCCTTAGGGTTATTTGGGAGTATTTAATGGAGGCAAATGCCCCTAAAACATTTCACCTCTCCCCAACATAGTAGCTATCATCCCACAGCCCAGGTACCCTGCACCCTGTCTCAGAGGCAGTGTGACATGGCTCCTCAGGGCTAGTGTTCTTCCATTTGTACCCTTTATGCCTGTCTGCCAGCCCAAACTCTGTGCTCTCCAGTTGTGACATTGCACTAATTGCACTGAATAGAGCTCAGAGGAGAGGTGATTTTTCTTTTTTGTTCTTGCCCTGTCGCCATCTCCAAGAAAAATTGTTTTTTCTTCTCAAGAGATTCCTCTTCCCGCCACATTTGCGTCCACACGTACCCTACTCTTGATCATTCTAAAGTAATACCCCTCAGGCTTGTTAAAATCTTTTGAAACTTGCATCATTTTTCTTGAGAGCTGCCAGAATCACTCATGAGAAGCAATTTTCCTATACTTGATGTCCACTCTGTCTTGCATTTTACTGTTTTTTTAATCCTGAGTATTGCTACTCTGGATGTATTCAAACTCACTTTTAGTTGTTATTCAAGATGTTCCTATGTACCTCTAGAATGTTTTTACTAGGTTGGCTTGGCAAATGTCCCTATTGCTGTCTCTAGCAGGGTTTTCAGGGTTGGCTGGGGACAGCTGTAAAATTGTAAAGCAGAGAAATTTTGTCATATTTTGCCTTTGAAACTCTTTCAATGTGCTCCCTTACCTCATGTTATCCCTAGCCCCTTAACTCCTGCAATATTATATTAGATAACATCAGCTTCAACAGGAAATTGCATCATCTGTGTTGTGATTTAACCAAGTACT